CCCCCCCCCGCCCCCCCCCCACCAGTCCAGAGCATCCATGGCAAGAGCAGCTAAGAGACAAGGGGCAGGTAAAGAAACAGGACAGCAGCCGCCAGCTCTCCTCTGCTCAAAGGGTTTGGCTTTCCAACAACGAAGCTGCACCACAGAGCCCTGGCCTCCCTCCCACGGCAGCCGCTGGGCTCCTCTCCGGACAAGGCAACAGCCAAGGCTCTCACAGATCCTCTTTCGGCGCCTTCTTCTTTTTCTTGGGCTTTTCATCTTCTTGTAGAATCGGCGGGTAGGTGGCCTCCCTCTTCAAATAGCTGACGAAGTCGCTCACCTCGCGTCCCCCCTGACAAGGAGACAGAAGTGAGGCCAAGAGGAAGGGGCCCGAAAGAGATGCAGGCCACCCCCTCCCACCATCTGCCCACCCACAATTTACAATAGTCCCCGTCCTATGGAGACTCCCCTTTTACCTCTAGTCTAAGGAGTCAAGCTCAACTCCAAACCGCATCACAGCCACCCTCACACCACCTTCTTGGTGCCAATGCCAAGTCGCTGTTGCCTTTTGTTGGGGGACTTTTTAAAAAATTCCAATCTAGCCTACTGCTCTGGCATCTCCTGGTGGTTTCCCATCCAAGTACCAATCAGATCAGACTGGTGTTATTTCTGCTACTGCAATTTATGCCCCATCTATTTACCTAGAAAGCACTTCTGGCAGAAGAAAGCCAGCAAAAGGAGATTTTAGCTCACCTCATATTTCTTTGGAGTTTGCTTGCTACCCGCAGGGGCGAAGTAAATTGTGGGGAAGCTACAACAAAAAACGAAAGATCCACTCAGCCATATCCAGTCTTTTTTTTGGTAGCAACAGCAAACATAAATTCAACTGGTCCTCAAGCCTCAATAAACCCATTCTTCTGCATGATGGGCAAACAGTCACATGCAGGAACCCAGGTAATCTATCTCTATCCAGATTCTTGAACTGTTAAGAATGCCTTTCTAAGAAAGCTATTCTACTGATTGCAACTAGCAGATACAGCAGATCAGGAAAAGCCAGCAGTCATTAGTGGAGCTTCCTTACCCTTTGACTTCATAGGGAGAAGGCACATCATTGGCTGTGGCATCCATCTTGGCTATAACAATGTTGGGGTCTTTGTTAAGCTGAAAAAAGGTAAAGCAGCCAGTAATTAGAGATGACAAAACTCAGTTTTGGCCTCAGTCCCCTGAAAAAATGGTGGCTGAGGCCTGGAGCACACTGAATCAAAATCAAACTAGCCGTGTTATGGCTTATCATGAGAAGGAACCAGCAATATTTCACTGTCTTGGGACTGCTGTAGCTGGAAAGGAACTCCCACCAGTCCCTTCACGGCTAAATGAAAGAACCTCTGGCAAGAGACCCTCAAGCTCAGGCAGCCCTTGTTTCTCCCCTACCTTCTCGCCCAGCTCCTTGTATTTGGGTTCAAGGTTCTTGCAGTGGCCACACCATGGGGCGTAGAATTCTATAAGCACATCCTTGCCCTCCGTGTTCACAATTTCATCAAAATTTTCAGCCACAACTACCTGGAGAGAGAACCAGAACCGCACTGAAAGAACACCTCATGCCAGCACATCACTGGGTAAAAACAAAACAGCCATTTTCTCCAGAGGCAAGCGTACCTTTTTTCTGTACTGTCCAAGTTAACATTTGTACAGCAGTGGAATAGCATCACCACCTCAACTCACCTATTGTTCATGCTAACATGCAAGTACTGTAGCATTTCACATTCCCCTAACACTCCTTCTATTAGTTTACCTACAGCCACTTAGCATATGGATACAATCTCTTCAGGAAAGCCATTACAGTGGTGTTAAGCACTGTGTTTTAGTAAGCAAAAATTTTGTGGTTTTTTTCTTATGGTTTGTTCTAAAGGAATCAGGACGCACTGCTTCTCCTACCACTTCAGAAGTTCTACAACACCATCCAAATAAAGTCTCTTCCCCAGTTACTATAGGGTTAGCGGAAGACCCTTGCCGCCCCCTCACCTTCACTGGACCATCATTGCTCTCTGGGATGGGCTCTGATTTCAGGTATCTTTTCAGATTTCCATCAAAATAATCCTGAAGGAATCTCTCCAAGGCTTTGCCGTCACGGCTGCAAATGAAGTAAGAATTGCTTCAGCCAGCATAGACCCATTTATACTTCCCTCAAGAGCCACTAGGGAATAACACAGGGCCTCCCCTTCTGTAAAGCTCTTCCCAGAACAGTTCAATGGAAAGTTTTCCCTGCAGACAACCCCTGGAACTGTTTCCATTCTGAAATAAGGGGGAGCTTCCAAGTACCAGCTGTTGACTACCCAACCGAGGTCACACATCAAAAATGTGAACTTACGAGAATTCCTCCTGCATGGCAAATTTCTCTCCTTTGGCTGTCCTGATAGCAACAACAGGGACATCACCGGTAGAACCATCCAGCCCAAACTCTGAGAGTTCATGGCCAAAAGTCTTTCGACTTGCAACAGCAAAATTAAGTTTGTGTCCAGCGTCCAGGAAACTCCGAGCTACCTTCATCACTCTGCAGAAACAATGCAACTGTTCTGTTACTGTCAGCTCAAGGAAATCAGACAGCCACACCAAGATCTGAAGACAAAAAAAATAAAATTGACACCAGCAAGTGAACCCAGTGGAGGGGTTCAGCTCCACACCTGCTGAATTGTGAATGTTTTGTTTAACAAAGGACTGAATTCTACAACATCAGATCAAATGAGCTGGAAACAACCTAATGAATCCACCAAAGTGGCAAATAATTAAAGGGGGAAAAGAAATTAGAATCTCTGTTTCCCAGCTAATGCACTGTTTTACTGTCAGTAAAAAAAAAAGGATTATAGATTTCTGGAGTAACAGCTCTTCAAACACAAAAATGGTAAGTCTACCAAAGTATGCATTTCAGAATAGATGTGGGCCCTTTCTGGTATTGCTCTTAATTGTTCCCAGCCTCAGAGACCAACTTTAGGTTGCTAACCCAGGGCAGGAACATTCACCTATTCATCATCCTGTCTTCAGCATTTTTTTAAATCAGTGCAAGAAAATCTAGGGACCAACTGCCTTTGGGTGATATGTCTTCAAGGGTAACTGCCCAGCTCTTCTTCAACCACTCATGGTTTGAGGAGGACTTTGACAACAGCAACTGCTCTCTCCTCTTCCCCCAGTCTATTATTGGCTTCTTTACCTCACTCCCAAGAACCAAAGTTTAATTCTGGAAGACCCACATTTTAGCAAGACTTCTTTCAATGGCTTTGGCAACCTGGCTGAAGAGGAACCATAACTGACACAGATGCCAATAAGGGCTTTTATTTTCCTCATTTACTGCTTTGCCCAATAGTCAGATTTCACCTGCAATAGAGAATTGGTTCATCTGCCCACAGAATCTTCAACAGAGAAATGGAAACTCACCTGTTGCGCCAATAATTGGAGCCTTTGGGATTCTTTTCATAGTCTACATCGTAATAAGCCACTAGAAGATCTTTCCCTTGGATCAATTCTTTGTTGTCTTCAGTCATGTGTGGGCATAAACCGAAGCTACAACAGAGAAACTCTCCTTTGTTAATATGTGAATCCCATTCAGACTGGACACACATACTTGCTATAGGAGAGAAACTACTGCACTCACATGTTTTCTTGAAGAAACTTCTTTATCTTGCCGGTTGTGATCTTTTCTTCTGTATATCGTACAGAATTGTCCTCAAACTTGTTTGCCAGGTGCAGGGGACGGAACAGGAAGATGCCCCTGTGAAAAGGAGACTGCTGCATTTTGACAGTCAAAACCTACCACACCCAATCAAATAGCACCCCATAATGCATCATTTTGGTTCACAGAATCTTAAAAGTTGGAAGGGACCTAAGAAGTCATCAAGTCCAATCCCCTGCACACTGCAGGATTCACTGAACCATCCCCAATAGATAAACGTTCCTCCAGTACGTGGCCCCAGCCCAACAGCAAGTGTCTCAGGTGCTTGAGCCAGTCCCACAAGGAAAAGCTAACACATAGCCAGCAAGCGTATCAAGCTCTGACTTGCCTGCTCCCTGCAGGTGATAGGATAAACAAGTAAGAACCAGCCCAGAAGGGACTTGGCAATTTGTGCTGTACTGTGTAAATATAACACCCCGTTTTTCACAGAAGGCTACCTGGAGCAAGGCTTAGATATGTGACCCATCAATGGCCAAAGGCCACAATAAAAATTCATTCATTCCTATAAGTAATTCAGCACTATAAAGCTCTGCCCTGTGTATTCTGAAACTTCAAGCAGCTTCCAAAGCTGCTTGGCTGGCAAGTCGCAGAAAAACAAGAACAAACATGAACTTGATCATAACCTCTATAGTCATGGGACATTTCTCCTGAATCAGGAGTATACAGGGCCAACTGTTGATCACTTACTCGCCATCCGACTCATATTTCTTAATGAGCCCCTCATCACTGGTGTGCCCAAAGCGGTAATGGTCCCGCAAATTGCTTGCTGCTTTCATATACTCTGAATGTGCATCGCCAAACAGCTCCTTGAAGAATCCTGTAGTTCATAAGCAACAAACAGCTCTGTGTAAGAGGGTCAAGATAAATCATTTGGGTATGCCACTGAGAAACTAGACAGATGACACAGAGGGAGGAAAGGCAAACACTTCCTTGTTCGGGGGAGTGCAGTAATATTGTACTTTAAAATGGCACAACGAGCACTTCAAGTCTATCAAAAGTTTAACACCCCTACTATAGCTGTTGTTATTGTTATAGCTGAGAAATATTACCATTTTATTCCTGAATTTTGGTAGCTTTCTGGGTTTGAGGTCAATTTATATTTCACAAGATGTTACCTTATGACTTAATCATAAAGAACAATGAGCCACTTGCAATAGTCCCGGATTCCAAATCCCACCCAAGGAACACAACCAACCCATGGCTTTGATATTTTTAACTGGGAGTGCGCCTTGCCAACACTCCAGCAGGTTCTCATTTGAAGGATAAAGTCACATAAAGTAAACAGCACCTCAAACAGGAAGATAGAAGACAAGATCCTTCAAAACAACCAGGAATTGGCTTAGCTAATGTTTTTTTAAAGACAGTATACTTAACCTGATTAGCAAATTATACCATTCTGGGTTTACCCAATCCATAAACCAAACCAGCTGGGCTCTACCACAGAAACAGAATCAAAAGTAACACTATTTTATTTATTTATTAAACAAATTTATACGGCCACCCAACTCACACAAGGTGACTCCAGGCGGCTTGCAGAATTAATACAAAATACTGAAATAGAAAAAAACAATAACCCCCCCACCAGCAACAAGCACATTCAAATTAACCATTTAATCAAGATAACCACTGACCCTTAAATGTGCCATGATCCTTCTGCCATTTTGTCCCCACAAACTACTTACCCACTACAGCAGCATCCTTTTCACTGATGAATTTCTCAAAGCTCTCAGAAGAAAGAGGAACCGAGGCAGGCCCTGCCTGTTTCTTCAGATGGCTCACAATTCCATCTTAGAAAAAAAAAAATAGGTAGGAATAAAGGCCAATCTTCTTTAGAGACTCACACTGACACGGCATAAGGGCCCCAAAAGAACATGCTACAGGATGCTATGCATCAATCATTCTTTAAATCCCACATTTCTTACATTACAGGGGCAAATCTCATGTCCCTGCAACTACCGATAGGACAGTTTTCAACACCAGCCCCACTGCAACAATCTAGCTGCAAGGTGACAATCCTGATACAAAAGCTTCAACTGGTAGGCACAATTTAAATCTACAGCAGCCCTCCTGACCACAGCCTCCACCTGCTGTTCAAGCAGGAGCTACGTGTCCAGTACAGAGAGGTCTGAGGCAGCAGGGTCAAAGGTCGAAAGCAGCGCCACACCATAAACTCCACCTCCTTTTTTATGTGCAACACACACTTATGAAAGGCACGGAGGGGCCACTGCGTTCCTGCAATGCCTCTGTCCAGGAGGAACACGAAGGCCAGCTCCTTAAATATTGGGTAAGGCTGAACCAGACATTACCTATCGTGACCTGGGCTCCAAGGGCTACGTAGAGCTCCTCCAGAAGTTACTTAACTACAACAGGCTCAGAAAAGCCCAGAGGGACGATCCGGGCCCGCTCACCAGCTGTCCTGGGTCCGTCGTAAGTTCCGGACTCCTCCCCGTTCCTGAAGATCTTCAGCGTCGGGTAGCCGCTCACCCCGTACTTGTTGCAAGTGTTGGAATTAGCCGTGCAGTCCACCTAGGAGAGGACGGAGCGCGTTCTTGGCGCAGGCGACCCTCCGAAGGCCCCTGCGTTACCTCGCAGCCTGCCGCGCCCGGCACCCGCCCTTGGACTGCAGCTCCTCGACGGGAAGGAGCCGCACCGCCTCCGAGCCGGAGCTCTTCCAACCCCGAGCCGCGCGCGGGACGCACCTTCACGAGGGGGACGATGCCCTTCAGCCGAGTGGCCGCCGACTCGTACTCGGGCGCCAGGCGCTTGCAATGTCCGCACCTGCAAGGCGACGCAGCCGGTCACCCCCGCGCTCGTCGCCCCCCCGCCCAGGAGGGCCTCGCGACAGCCA